AAATTCCAATTACAAGTTGCACATGAGAGTAGAATTTTAGAAATATAGAAATTCGTGTATGATTATTGTATATTTGCTGCCTAATTTTTTTTCAGTCAAGATTTTGATTGGGGGGGTAAACGAATTTATATTTGCTATCTGAGATTTTTGACATCATTCTCTATCAAGATGTTGATGTGGGTAGACGTATTATTTTTTATTTCAACTTTCACATACGTGCTTTGCAACGATTTCTCCGAAAAAGACGCTATAGTATACCTAACTCAATATGAACATATCATCGATAATACAACAGATCTCTCTACTTTGCTAACTAACTTGCAAGAAAAGTATAATTTACCAGTGGATGGATTGTTGAATAATGCAACAATTGAATTTATGAATCGTCCGCGTTGTCAATACAGTGATGCTGAATTTAGAGCAAGTTTTCCATTTCGGAAACATGACCTGAAATGGTATTTCCCTCGAAACACACCTGCGGCCCAAAAAGATGCAGAAATGGCTTTTCAGATGTGGCAAAATGTTTCAAACTTAACATTTACAATGGTTACCAATCCCACTCTATATCCTCCTGATATTACTATAACCATGGTTAGCAAGACTCATTATTTTAGCGCAAACTGTATGGGTAATGATGAATGTCCATTGACATTAGATGATGCTGGCGGCGTTTTAGGACATGCATACTTTCCTGACTCTAGCGGCACCTGTAGAGAAATCCATTTAGATATAAATGAACGCTGGTATTTTGGAAATAATCCTAATATACCCAAAAATCAAACTAGTTTTCTTATGGTGTTGGTTCATGAAATTGGACATGCCCTCGGCATAGCACATAGTGCTTCTCCGAATGCTATTATGTTTGCCTTCTATCAGCATGAGATTCGTGGTCTAGATGTTGATGATATAAATGCAGTACAATATCTATATGGAAGAAAAAACAAATATGATTCAATCCCAAAGTCTACCACCGCATCAGCAATACCAAAAACAACAACAACTATAAGATCTACAACTCGTAAGCAGCCGATCCTCAAAAATTTGTGTGATATTATTCCAGATTTTATGTTTTTAGCTTGCTCCAGAGTTTTCAAATTACCGATTATATATTGCACATGATATGTTTATATGGAAACTAGACTTAAACGAAATGATTATCCCATCTCAGCCTGAACTTCTTGTCGATTATGTTCCTACAGAATTACGTCAATACACTTTACAACATATTTTCCAATCAACAAACGGTGACTTGATTACCATTGTGTCTCCAAACAACTATTTCTCAGCATCATTCCCTACCATTAAATTTCTTGATAATTTTTCAATTGATATACCCGATAGGGCTCGAATCAATGCTATTTTTCAATCAAACGCAGGACGGTCCTATACCTTTTATAATAATATGTCATATATAGAATTTTCTAACGATTTTACTGATGTGTTGAACAGAGGACGGATAAGAGACATATTTCCTGAATTACCTGAAGATATTTCTCTCGCATTTCGATGGATTGATGGCCATATTTACTTTTTCCGTCACGCAACTTACTATAAATTTAATGAATTTACAAGAAAAGTTGTTGCGACCGGACCATTTCATTGGACTCTATTTGGAGTACCATGCCCCAGCGAGGATTTGTTACATCAACTAAAAACTCTGTTATCTAAACTTGTATCTGTATATCATTAAAAAATACATTTTTCAGAAAGCTATGTTTATTTCGTATTCAGCCTGTTGTCAAACAAAAAAAAAAGTCGGTTCCTTCGACTCCCCACCCCCCCACCATCATTCTACTACATAAAGTTTCATTTTGAACGGTATCATCCTGTATAATAATAACAGTACATCGTATACAGGTTATGAGACATTCTGACCGACCGACCGACCGACCAGAGGAGCCCACCACGCTATTTAGGTCACGCCTTGCTATATACGATTTAACGATATACCGTCGGTCCATCGATCCGCTATTTTTCGATGCACCCCTGTATACACGTTCTGAATGCCCCCCGTAATCCACGCCAACACCAGACAGGTGCGACATCGGCGCCATCTATGCGCGAGATGCCCAACCCATCAATGGCAGCTGTCCAATGACACATAGATTCCGTTTGGTTTGTACAGCGCCAAACAAATCGGCGCCATCTATGCGCGAGATGCCCAACCCATCAATGACAGGTGTCCAATGAACACATAGATTCCGTTAGGTTTGTACACCGCCAAACAAATCGGCGCCATCTATGCGCGAGATGCCCAACCCATCAATGACAGGTGTCCAATGACGTATGACAGATGACGTTTTAACGCCATCTATGCGTGAGATGCCCAATGACGCATGACAGGTGTCCAATGACACACAGATTCCGTTTGGTTTGACAGCGCCATCTAGCGGCGGAATCCCCAACTCATGATACAGATTCCGTCCAACAACCTGTCAATGGCGCGCGCGACGCCAGCGCGCGGTGGCGGATTTTGGAAGTTTTGAGACCGAATCCCATAAGACATCTACTGGTTTACATGGGTCTTTTAGCAAGAGGTAGGGTTTATTATATAAAACTATAAGCCAAAATAATCATATTAATAATAATTTTTGTTGCTAATTATTAAAAACTGCACATAAATACTGACTTATTAACATGTCACATGTTTTTTGTGTATGCTTTAGTATCATTGAAGTAATAGGGAAAGCTTGGGCAGTGAGGTGATACCCGGGAAAAAAAAAAATTTCGGTCTTCGGTCGAGTTTACGAATCGGCTATCGTGAAAATTTGCATAGACTTATTCGTTTAATCTTGTAACGTTGTAAAAGGTCCCACATCTCCGATAGCACATTGTATTTTTCCAACAGAACAAAGAATTCAATTTTCAAGGAAGGTATTGTGCGTATAATTCCATTTTCTGTACTACCTACCTTTATGAAAAATTCAACCCAAACTTACAGGACTTTCTCAGCCATACAAACGAGGAGGATGGAGGTAACGTTTTTGGGTAGGAAGCAAGAAAACTTCTAGATAAATAACTTCCTGCAAAGTACCCATAACCTGACTTTCGTATTCGAATTTGAATCGGTACTACAAGAACATCGTAAGTCCTCTCATTTGAATTTTTCAGGAGACTATAAAAACCGTGTCACTGACAAATAAACCATGATAAGGTACTTTTTGGGCTTAGTGTAGTATATTGATGTTCTGAAAAATGACATTTCGATTAACATTCACATATATTTATAATAATAATGAAATCCGAAATACTGTTTTTAGCAGGACATAGGGTTAGTGGTATATATTAAAAGTGTATGTGCTTGTGTAAGAATCATATTAGTCCATTTTTCATTAATGACTTACTAACAGATACGTTTTCAAACTTCACATATCTGTTATTTAAGGTAAACATGGTGTTTCAAGTTCGATCCCCCACCATTGGGATACGATACGAAGTCGCTTAAATAGGGGCAAAATGCGTTTTTACGTAGCCAGCAAGATGTCGATTAACATGTTTCGAAATCGAAACTACTTCCGCAGAGAGACGGAAAAAAACCGAATTTTTCCAACACGATTTCAATTTTTGCCGGCTGAATTGTAGTGGGATTAAAATAAATTGCACAACAACGTTGCCACTTTTTCTCATCTACAAAATGATATAATTAGAATTTCAATATGAATTTGTCTCCTGTCTCGCAGCATTAACCTCCGTTTTATGTATAATGTGTCTCAACATTGACATCTCCAAACCTTAATTATTCCAGAAAAAGAGAAGTTCCTAGGTAGGCCTTGTATTATCAGATTTCATTATTTCGTATGCCGACCAGACCTCAAACTGAACATGGCAACAGAGTTTGGAAGTCAGAAGAGGAGAAATAAATCGAACAACGTATAGAGAAAAGTTGGCTTTGCTTACAAATAATTGACATTCTGAAGATCTGCTATGATTTACCTTTGCAAATTTGTGATTATTAGTTATTACTAATAAAAGGACGAAACTTCATATTCAAATTCTAATTATGACGTCTTGTAGAAGAAAAAGTGGCAGTGATAATATGCAATTATTTTGATATCCCACTATTAATAAAGTCAGAAATAGATTAAAATGATTTTGGGAAAATTCATTTCTTTGTCTCTGTCCGGAAGAGTTTGAATTTTTCTAAACAGCATTCTGTTAGTTACCTAATACCCAACTCTGCTCACATTTAAGCGACTTCATATCTCTCAGGATGTCCAGGCGTGTCAGAGTGTATAAGAAATCGTAAATCCCGCAACACATTATTGAACCAGCTTCTGCAGTCAGTTGACGAATCAAGCTGAAATCTAATCATGTGCTACGTTACATCATACATGCCAAAAATTAAAAATCGGATGAACAAACGTAGGTGATTACCTTTTTTGTCACTCAGTATACATAGACTGCTTCGTTCAACTTTCTTTAATAATCCGGATTAGCTGTAGGCACAAAACGAATGTTTTCAGTAAAAAATTGATATTGCAAGACAGGCAGCAGCGGTGGCCGCAGACTCTTCGGTCTCCTGATCAGTCGCCGTATGCTGTGCGGGTTCGAGTCCCGTCCCAGGAGAAATTTTTCTCTTGGCTATGGATGTTGTGATTGTCCGTAGGTGGTAAGACGGTCTTTGACTGTCGTACGTGGAGTACCACCCGGCGGATCTCGTAGGCGGAGCCAGTGTGGTGCATGTTGCATGCACACGCGTCCCCCCTTTCCCCTGTACCCCCCTATAGCCCCACGGTACCCATGGGTGTTTAGGCCTTAGGCCTTCGTGGTAGTTGGAGTATAAAAAAAGGTGTCGTGTGCGCTATTCAACTTTTTTGGTCATACAATGAA